AGTTGTGCTTTGGGTGTGGTGGCGCACACCTGTAATCCCAGCACTCGGGAGGCTGAGGCAGGAGGATCCCTGTGAGTCCGAGACCAGCCTGGGCTACATAGTGAGTCCCAGGGTAGTCTCAACTACGTAGTGAGGCCCTGTCTCAAAAAAAAAAAAAGAATTTAAAATAGTTGTTCTTTGTACTGTGGAACTTCCTTAGCCAGCCAACTCTGCCAGTGCTCTATGACCTGTGTTAGCGAGAGGTGCCAGGCCCATGCAGTGGCAGACAAGGCAAGGGAGTTCCCTGAGGCCACAAGATAGAGTGGAGGAAGCGGGTTTGGAGTTCACCCTTCAGCTGCCACAGTTTCCTTACTACATGAAGGGAGGTAGCATCTCCTCAGGGCTATTGTAACAGTTCAACTGAACAATCATTCTCAGGGTGCCTGGCACTTAGTTATTCAGCAAATGTTGTGAGACCTCAACTCGGGAAAAGTGATCCTCCCAGTCCACCTGTGCCACCTACTAGCTCTGTGCTGTGGGAGAAAGTCAAATGGCAAATGACGGCTCTGAAGGTTCAACTTCTTCATCTGTTAGAATGAAGGTACTGGTAGTAGTGTCTAGTATGTGTGCCTTACAGCAAATGCTAGGTGGTAATGCTGACAGTGGCCAGTCACCAGAAGCAATCATCTTTAGCCTCTCTAAACTGAAAGATGTTAATTAGGAAATGAAATTTCCAGTCCCCAACTCAGCCATCTTTTCTTCTACACCACTATTTTTACAGCTCTTGTTAGTGGGTTAAAATTCAGCAAGAAAGACATTTAACTTAAATTTATCAGTTTGAGACACAAGTTAATCTTTTTAAATTTATACATGGAGTATTTTTCAAAAGCAAAAATTAACTGGTTTGGTTTTTCTATTTGTTTTGTTGAAATAGGGTCTTGCTGTGTATCCCAAGCTGGCCTTGAACTCACAACAGTTCTCCTGCCTCAGCTTCCTGAATGCTGGGATTGGAGGAGTGTGCCACCACACCCAGCCTCCAAAATTAGATGTTTTTTCTTTGATCTTGACAATTTTTTGTGTTTTTTGCCTTAATTGAGGGGTTTAGGGCTGGGAGTATATTTCAGTGGTAGAGCACTTGCCTAGAATGTGCAAGGCTATGGGTTCCATCCATGGCACTATAAAAATAAGAGAAAAAGAATTTAGGGTTACTGAGCACTTTATAAAAAGTGAAATAGGGACTTTTGGTGGACACTTTGGAGGAAAATTTCATTTCCTGTGATAGACTAAACTGAAAAACTGAAGTTGACACCCAAACTTAGAAATCCACGTAGGACTGAAAAAACCAATAAAATATACAGTTCCATTGTGCTTAATGAAATATAAGATACAAGAAACAGTCTGCACAAGCTCTCTCAATATCTGTAGTGCTTGGTAGTCAAGGAAATAGGGCCAATAACCAGACTGATGGCAATATGGGATTTTTCCCTTTAAAAATACAGTCAGGGCCAGGGATTTAGCTCAGTGGTTCCACAAGTATGAGGATCTGAGTTTGATCCCTGCTACCAAAAAAAAAAATAAAAATACAATCAAAAGCTGGGTGTGACAGCACAGGCCTGTAATCTCAGCACTCAGGAGGTTGAGGTAGGATTGCCATGAGTTTAAGGCTGGCCTGGACTACATAGTGAGTTCAAGGCCACCCTGACCTACATAGTGAGATCCTGTCTCAAAAAAACAGGGATTTAGCTCAACGGCCGGCCCACACCTAACTCCCAAGCACAAGGTCCTGAGTTGACCCCCACTACCAAAAACAAAACAAAAAGAACCGCTGGGCCTATCAGCATATACCTATAATCCTAAGTACTCAAGAGGCTGAGGCAGGAAGAGCGTAAGTTCAAGTCCAGCCTGGGTAATTTAGTGAGACCCTATGTCAAATTTTTAAAAATAAAAAGGGCTGGAGATGCAGCTCAGTACCACAAAACAAAACCAGAAAAAGGACTCATTTAGAAGGACTTATTTTATTCTGTTAGTTCTGTGTTCTGGACTCGGGCCTGGACAGTCAGCCTCTAAGGGTGGCCCACATGTAGTTCAGCATCAGAGAATCCAGAGCCCAGGTGACAGGACAGTGCACTTGGGTGCCTCTGGTGGTGACATCACGGACTTGAATAGATTGTGCTGTGTGACTGACTCGCCTTGGAGAAGAGCCACATTAGCCCATTGCATCTCCTTTACTCCCCTTGACTGAAAGGGTGGCGGGGCTGGCGCCTCTTCCCAGGGACATCCCGAGTGTGGTGCTACCCTGCAACTGAGCCTTTCCTCAAGCATCCTCTGGGCAACGTCAGGATTGACCACTGCTGTTCTCCTCAGCGTTGGGAGTGGAGGTGTTCACCAAGGGCTTCCTCGCTATTGTCCTACTAAGTGTCCTCTGTGACACCCCACATTGCAAACACAGTCTTTTGCTTTCTAGTGTTCGGCATGATCATTACCATCGGCCAGTCTATCGTGTACGTGATGACGGGGATGTACGGGGACCCTTCTGAGATGGGCGCCGGCATCTGCCTGCTCATCACCATCCAGGTAACATGGCGCTAATGTCCCACCAAGCACCTCATACCCTAATCCCTGTGAGCACCTCCCCTGTGCCTGGAGGAGGCCCACACCCTCAGCTTTGCCCTCCGAATTCACCAGAGGACAGGCTGACTCGGCCCTCACCATTTATATCAGAAAACCCAATTAGGAAAGAAGGAACCAGGCCCTTGGGGAGCAGTAACACATAGTCTGTTTGGGTTTTTTTATTTTCATTTTTTTAATTTAACAGCTCTTTGTTGCTGGCTTAATTGTCCTACTTTTGGATGAACTTTTGCAAAAAGGGTACGGCCTGGGCTCTGGCATCTCCCTCTTCATCGCCACCAACATTTGCGAGACCATCGTCTGGAAGGCCTTTAGCCCCACCACGGTCAACACTGGCCGAGGTAAGTAGGTCTCGGGCACACCTGGTTCCTCTGTGTGCCTCTGCAGAGGTTTTCGGATGGCTTAGATTAGGAACGATACCAAGGCTGTGTTTTTACATATGGACATCGGGCTTGCCAGAATACATAGTCCTGCCTTGTTTTCCGTAACATGCGTGAACCTCCATCACAACATTTATCTTAACCAGTTATCTGCTGATGGGGCATCTAAGTCATTTCCAGTTTGTTGTCATTTACACTGAAATAATAAACATCACTGTACATTTGTCTTTATGTATTTGGGCAGTTTCTCTTGGTGAATACTTTTCCAAAAATGGAATTGCTAAAGAAACCAAAGCACTTGTTCATGCAAGGGGCAGCTTTGAGAAAGAGGCTTTAACTTGGGGCTCATCACCTGGGTCCAGATCATGCCTGTGCCTGTCAGTTGTCCATGTGTGACTGAGGAAACTGTCCCACCACAAAACTAGTTTCCAGGAGATGAGAAAGAACACACTTAATGATTCCTGGCTCGTGGTAGATGTGTGACAAACATTGCCGTGCTGTGCTATATCTCTTGAGGGTGGGTCTGTCGGTGTCTGGTCATAGCTGGGCCCCCCCGGAGCAGAGGTACAGCAGGAAACGCCATGCGTGGTATGGAGGGTGCCAAGGACAGGGTGGTTACGAGGGTGCAGTCAGGGATCGGCGTGCGGAGGGCACCTGGGGCTGCAAGCTCTGCCTAGAGGGAAGGAAGCTGTGAGATCCACTTGGGCAGAGACTCGCCATGGCTGCCTCCCAGACTGGGTGGGAACTGGGGACAGCGCAAGTACAAAGTGACCCTGAATAACACCAGCCCTTCCCAATAACCCCTTTCCCAGAGGTCAGCAGGATGTGTTTCAAGAACCATGTGACAAACTAAGAGAGCTAAGACCTCATCCTGGCACTGCTGTTACCTGGCTTCCATTCCACAGATACTTTGCCAGTTGCCTACTAAGTACCAGACCCAGCTGCAGGCTCTAAAGACAAAATAAAATGTGTGATGTATGCGTGTCAGGCTCAGGATGTGGGGAGTGGTGTTTGTGTGTAATCCAGGAAGGCCTCGCTGACAGTTGAGCAGAGTCTCGCGGTGGGTGCCAAGGCCCTAGGGTAGGGCTGCACCTCGTGTGTTGAAAGAGCAGGGTGTATGGCTGATCAGAGTGAATGTAGGCAGAGGGCTGGGGACGGCCGAGTGCTGCTTGGTGGCAGGGCAGTATGAGGAAGACCTTCCTCCTCAGGGACAGTAGGGAGGTAAATCACTTCTGTCGCACACCCAACGTTGGAAAGGAGGGGGACCAACAGCAGACACTGCAGACATAGACAGGGAAGCCAGGGAGAGTCGGGCCGAGTGTTTGTCATGGAAGCAAACTCAGAGCCAGGGTGGTACCACTGGATGTTCAGTTGGGCAGCATCCAACACCGAGTGGCCCGGCTGTCTCAGGGCAGGGCTGGTGCCCCTCTGTCCCAGATCCATCAGCCAGCACTGCCCACAGCCCCATCTCTGGAAAGTGTCAGCCTCTTGCTGGTGCCAGGCTTGCCTGTGCAGTACTTCCCTGATGCCATCTTCTTGCTTCTGTTGCTTTTCTTTTCCCTCATAAGTCTGTTTCTTTGCCGTTTCCACAATGTCTGAGTCTCTGTGCACCGTGCTACAGCTGCCCCTCTTCCTCTAGGTCAGTTGCTTCCTGCCTCCACTCTGTCCTGCTGTCGGGCATGAACTCAGGCTTGGATCCACCTCATGTCAGCCTGACAGTGCTCACCTCAGGGCATAGTCGGGGTGAGGCATGGGCAGCCTGAGCTCAGACTGGACTCCCTGGGGTTTGCAGGGCCTTTTAAACTGGTGTCCTCCTTCCCCACGGCTGGTGGCCATGGACCAAGAGTGAGAGTAGTTACTCAGAAGGGTAGAGCAGCCCATTGCTGTGGGTCACATTTTCCATAGGAGAAATGGAAATGGAGGAGATTTAAAAAAACTGTAGCGTGTTCCTGTGGCCATGGCGTGCGAGCCATGAATGCACAGATGCTAACGGGGAGGCTGAGCCTCTCGTTCCTCCCCTCACCCCCTTCTGCCTCCTTCCCGACAGGAATGGAGTTCGAGGGCGCCATCATCGCACTCTTCCACCTGCTGGCAACACGCACGGACAAAGTCCGAGCCCTGCGAGAGGCCTTCTACCGCCAGAACCTCCCCAACCTCATGAACCTGATCGCCACCATCTTCGTCTTCGCCGTGGTCATCTATTTCCAGGTATGTCCCTCCCAGCTCTTGTAGCTCCTATCTTCACCATGGGAAGGGCCCTGCCCTTTGAAACTTCTCAGGGTCTAAAGTTACTAAGTCTGTTTAACGTGCTTCTCAATAAGAGAACATAACTGCTAGCTGGCCTTTTTGAAATTGGATTTTTTTTTTTTTAAAGACAGGGTCTTGCTATGTAGCCCAGGCTGGCCTTGAACTCTCCTCCTATCTCAAACTTCCCACTACTGGGATTACAGATGTGTGTTCCACACCCAGCCCGATAAGAATTTATTCTATTAGCTGGGCGTGGTGGTGCTTGCCTGTAATCCCAGCACTTGGGAGGCTGAGGCAGGAGGATCTTGTGAGTTCCTGGGGTTGCCAATCTGTCTCAACTACATAGTGAAACCCTGTCTCAAAAAACCAAAAAAAAAAAAAAAA